TCATCACCATCACCACCATCGCCATCATCCTTTCCATCATCATCATTATCAGCATCGTCACCACAGTTCTCATGATGATGCTGATGATGACTGTGGTGATGATGATGCTGATGGCGATGGTGATGATGATGATGATTATGATGATGATAGTGATGATGATCATGCTCATCGTTATCATCATAATCAGCAGCAGCATCACCAGCATCATCAGCATTACCGTCATCATCACCACCATCATCACCATCATCATCATCATTGTCACCACCATCATCATCATCATCATCAACACCAACGTCATGATGATGATCATCATCATCATCATCATCATCATCATTATCACAATCATCATCATCGTCATCCATCATCATCACCATCATCCTCGATCTCATCATCATCACCATCAACATCATCATCATCGTCGCCATCATCACAATCATCATCATCTTTATCAATATCATCATCATTATCATTATCATCATCATCATCATCATCATCATCATCGCCACCATCATCATCAGCTGCAGCATCATCATCGTCGTCATCATCAGCATCATCATCATCATCATCATCATCGTCATCGTCATCATCATCATCATCATCATCGCCATCATCGTCGTCCTCCTCCTCACTCCTCCACACTCCTTGCCGTCTATGTCCCTCCGTCTACTCCCTCATCTACTCCTCCTCCGCCACCTCCTCTCTCCGCCAGCCGCTGAAGAGGTGGGCGAGGAGGAAGAAGTGGGACGAGAGAGGAAAAGGAGGAGAGAAGGATGAGGTGTTGGACGCGTTCAATCGCCTTGCGGAATATTTTCGACGCTTTCCGGGCCTCCACGGGCCCTTGGGAACCTTTGGGGACCACAGGGGCCAGGATCCAGGGCATGAGTCAGAGTTACAGTCGACGTCCTGCCACGAGGAAGCTCGGATAAGGAACTCTGGGCCTTATCGGGCATCGTCCAACATCGAGCACGAGCAGTTTTCCCAACGCTGGTTCAAGGAACGGCCCATGAATGGGAGCCCCTCCCGAGCCAGAGGTAGCCCAACGTGTTGACTGTGCCACGCCTCTCTCTCCCTCCTCCTCCTCCTCCAGGCCCCCGAGACGGTCTCCGCAAAGGCCAGACCGCAAGACCGCCCCAAGACGCACAAGACGCTTCAAAGAAGCCATACGAAGTCCTGGTGTGCCAAGTGCGCCAGATGCGCCAGATCGCGCCGGGTGTGCCGGGTACGCCAGGTTTGCGGTGTGTGACAGGTGCGCCGTGTGTGCCAGGCGCGCCTGGCGTGCGCGCCAGGTGTACGCATTGGGCGTGCCGAGTGTGCCATGTGTGCTGGGTGCGCCGGGTGTGCCAGGTGCGCCAGGTGTTGCTGGTGTGCTGCGCCAAATGTGCCGGGTTTGCGGGGTGTGCCTGGTGTGCTTGGTGTGCCGGATGCGCCGGGTGTGCTTGGTATGCACGGTGCACCAGGTGCGCCAGCTGTGCCGCGTGTGATGGGCGCGCTGGGTGTGCTGGGTGTGCCTGGTGCACCAGGTGTGCCGGGTACGGGTGCGCCGGGTGTGTTGGGTGTGCAGATTGCGCTGGGTGTGCTGGGTATGCCAGGTGCGCCAGGTGCGCCGGGTGCGCAGGGTGCGCCGGGCCTATGCAGGACGTGCCGATGTCATGGGTGTGCCGGGTGCGCCGGGTGCCAGATGTTCCAGGTGTACCCGGTGCGCTGGGTGTGCTGGATGCGTTGGGTGTGCCGGGTGAGCTGGGTGTTCTGGGTGTGCCAGGTGCGCCAGCTAGGTGCACCGGGTGCGCTGGGTGTTGGTTCCGGGTGCGCTGGGTGTGCCGGGTATGCAAGGTGTGCCGTCTGCGCTGGGTGCGTTGGGTGTGCCGGGTGTCCCTGGTGCGCTCGGTGTGCCAGGTGTGCCGGGTGCGGCAGGTGCGTTAGGTTTGTTGGGTGGGCGGGGTGGGCCGGGTGAGCCGGCCGCCGGGTGCGCCAGTTGCGCCGGGCGCGCGTGGTTTACCCGCACATGATTTTTTTGTTGCAACAAGCGCCGTCTTGCAAGACCAGCATCCTAAGGACCTGCCAATTAGGCGCAAGCCCAGTTTTGAAATGAAATGCCTTGCGTACTTCTGGCGAAGAATATGGACTGCGAAACAGACATGAGCATACAGCTCAGCGGGGTGTGCTCAGATATTCTGGTTTAAGGAACGATGAGAAGGAGTAGGAGGAGGAGGAGGAGGAGGAGAAGGGAAGAGGAGGAGGAGGACGATGAGGAAGAGGAGGAGGAGGAGGAAGAGGAGGAAGAGGAGGAAGAGGAGGAGGGAGGAGGTGGTAGGAGGAGGAGGAAGAGGAGGTGGAGGAGGAGGAGGAGGATGAGGAGGTGGAGGAGGAAGAGGAGGAGGGGGAGGAGGAGGCGGACAAGTGTAAACCCCAGAGTCATAAACGATGTTGGGATAAATCCTCTCTCCAAGCTCCCTCTTCATAGGCCCCTGCAAGAGGATTTGCCTCTTTGGAAGACAACCTTTTAAAGACCCTGAAGCATGCCAAAGCATTGTTCTCGGGATTCCAGCGCCACGGATCAACCTGACTGTTGCCTCTTGACAATCCTGAATCGTGCCAGAACGCCATTCCTGGGACTTCAGCAAAGCGAATCAACATACCTGTTGCGCCCGCAAAATCCTGAATCCTTTCAAAACATTATTTG